TCCAAGTGGACCGCTAGGACAGAGGACATTTAAAACTATAAATCCTTGGGTTCAACATATGTATATCTTTTATTAGGGGGTTTCTGGGCTCTTCAACTCCTTAAAACACATTTTATACTCCTGGAGTATAACAGGACTTTTTGCCTAGAGCAGTTGAGACAATTATTTGTATACACCAGGTTCGCTTTCATGATACTACACTATCAGATTCCCAGTGTTTACTTCAGGTTGTACCGGTTGGATAAGCCCTGGCATGTGTTTCATCTTGGGAGGCTTGTGCAGACAACCCCTGGGATTAGAGAAGCAACACTGTCTAGCGGAGAACATTGTTTTGGTTCTGCCCCATGTTTTGTAGCTGGCAAGGGGGAGTGGCTGTGGGAGTGTGTGAGACTAACAATGCAGCCCTCGAGCAGAAAGCACCCAATTTCAATGCGGAAGGCAGGCACTGTGAGTGGAGTTGTATTTAAGCATGCCTTGTGATTCTAGCATGCCAAGGCTATTGGGCAATGCATAAGCTAAGGAAGGAGTGCACCACTTGGGCCTCTGTGTTTGCTCAAAGGAGAAGTGTTCAATAATAATAATAATAATAATAATAATAATAATAATAATAATAATCTTTATTTCTACCCCACCACCATCTCCCCAATGGGGACTTGGAGCAGCTTACATGGGGCCAAGCCCAGACAAGATAATACAGCAATAAAATCAAAACATATACAGCAAACAAGAACAACATCATCAAAATACCATTAAAAGAAAAAAAATCATAAGATAAACATTCCAATAAACACAATCACAGTAAGGATGACAATGGGCAGGCCACATATTCAGGATAAAAACAGTTAACAAACAACAATGAGATAAAATAGGAGTGGAGCATTTATATGGAACTCATAAAACATACAGAGTTGTGAGGCTAAACATCGTATTTGAAGGGCACAAACTCCATTAGCAGAAAACGTTAAGGGGTGCAGAATATCATGCTGTGCACCTACTCACCAAAGGCACAGCGGAAAAGCAAGGTTTTGAGGTTCTTTTTAAATGTTTCTAGTGAAGGGGCTTTCCTGATCTCCCCAGGTAAGGAATTCCAAAGTCGGGGGGCCATAGAGGAGAAGTCTCTCCCTTGTGCCCACAAGACGAGCTTGTGAGATTGATAAAGGCGAAAGGAGGACCGAGTTGGTACGTGGAGAGAGATACGGTCACGAAGGTAAGCGGTCCCAAACTGTTTAGGGCTTTGTAGGTGATAACCTGTACCTTGAATTGGGACCGGAAAATAAACAGCAGCCAGTGGAGCTCCTTAAACAGGGGGGTTGACCGCTCCCTGTAGGAAGCCCCAGATATCAATCTGGCTGCCGTGCGTTGGACCAGTTGTAGTTTCCGGGCCGTCTTCAAGGGTAGCCCCATGTAGAGAGCATTACAGTAGTCCAGTCTAGAGGTAACTAAGGCATGGACCACTATGGTCAAGTCAGACTTCACAAGTTATGGTCACAGCTGGCGCTCAAGTTTTAATTGTGTGAAGGCCCTCCTGGCCACCGCCGACACCTGCACATCAAGCGTCAGCGCTGAATCCAGGAGGACCTCCAAGCTGCGGACCTGTGACTTCAGGGGGAGTGCAACCCCGTCCAGCAAAGGTTGCCACCCAATACTCCGGTCAGACGAATATTTAGCTAATAGAGGGTATTTAGGGGTATTTAACTAATAGAGCTAAAAAGGACCTCGAGCCATCTAGTCCAGCCCCTTGCCATGCAAGTGTACACAACGGAAACACACCCGAAAGATGGCTATCCAATCTCTATTCAAAAGTCCTCTAAAATTGTGGGCTCCACCCAGGCCTGTAGTCAGGATTTTGATTCGGGGGGGGGGGGGGGGGGGGTTCATGATCTACCCCAGCAAACCTTTTCTATCATTATCCCAATACCCCCATGCGTATGAGCTATATTGAGCATGGTGATCAGATCATGATATGAATAAACATAACAGTTTAAATAATGTACCAGTAAGGCTTTCTCGCAGACCATCCTGAGAATTTGGGGGGGGGGGGCTGAAACCCCTCAACCCTCCCCCCCCCCAGCTAGGGGCCTGACTCCACCATCAGGTGAGGCAACAGTAAAGAAGGGATCAAGGTAGCACAGCAGGTTAAGCCACTATCTGCAGAAAAACTGCTTTCTTGAAGGTTGGCAGGTCGAAGCCACGGATCGGGATGAGCTCCCGCTGTTAGCCCTAGCTTCTGTCAACCTAGCAGTTTGAAAATATGTAAAGTGAGTAGATCAAGAGGTATCATTTCGACAGGAAGGTAAAAGCAACCTATGCAGCTATGCCGACAACACGACCAGGAGGGTCTATGGACAACAGGCTCCTTGACATGGAAAAATAGAACAAGAGCACCTCCCCATGACCAGAGTTGAGCATTGCCTCCAGACGCCGGAGATGGAAAAGGAAACCTTTGCCTTTGTTTGTGTATTGTACGTCATTGTTTACTGAATGTTTGTCTACATATGTGTATACTGTAATCCTCACTGAGTCTCCTCAGGGAGATAAAGTGGAATATAAATAAAATGTATTATTATTATTATTATTATTATTATTATTATTATTATTATTATTATTAGTGTTTAGGTGGGATCTCTTGTGATTTCAATCCATTGGTTCATGTTCCAGTCTCTGGAGGAGCAGCAATGTTCTAAATGACATATATTTAGATATTTAAAGATGGCTCTGTTTTTTGGGGGGTTTTTTCTTTTTCAAGTTGAAAACATCCAACTCCCAAAGTTGGGGGTATGTTCTTAAGGCTTTGCTTTCCCTACTTTTGAAAATTTTGGTCACCCTTCCTTGGGTATATTACAGTTTGCCAATATCCTCCTAGAAGTTTTGTGCCCAGAACTGGACACTGTATTCCAGGGGTTCAGAACACTATGCTTCTGTTGATGCAACCTAGAATTGAATTGGCTTTTTGTGAGCATCTCGTGACCAGAGAGATCTGCTCTGAGGCCAGATCTGTCAATAGTGGGGATCACTTTAGTCTTTGGAAGTGGGAGCCAAAGGAAAAGCTGCCATAAATATACACCGCCACTTACATAGATAGTGGGTAGATAGAGATTATTATTAGCAGCAACAGCACCATCACCACAGTGAAACCTTCTCCAGTGAAAGCTATGATGATGTTGGCCTAAGGCATTGTGCCACCTGAAGCAAAAAATCAAGATGGTGCCACTTCCTATTCTATGCAAAACCCAACTGGCTTGTGTATGAGAGGCATTTGTCTGAGAGAGCCCTCAGTGTGCGAAGACCTTGGTGTGAGGTAGGCCTCAAGTGTGTGAGAGGCCTGGAGTAAGAAGGCTTCGGTGAGAGAAGCCCCAGATTGAAGGCCTCATGTGTAAAGCTCCAGTGTGGAGGATGCTGTGTGTGAAAGGCTACAGTGTGATGCTCCTGTTTAAGTTTAGTATGAGAGGAAGCTCAGTGAGAGCGAAGCTGTTTATCTTAATGAGAAAGAAGCCCAGCATGGAAGCAAAGAAGGAAGTGTAAAGAACTTTATTTGTGTTATGGAAATCGTGTTCTTGTAAATAGTGCAACCATACTTTTTTGCTATAAAAAAGCCTTCTAAGGAAGAGACAACATTGGTCTATGTGTCTGTTTGTTTTTGATCACTTTGGGCTCACACTGCTAATAAGTTACTCTGCCATACATTGATAAGGAGGGTCTTTGGTTAATAAGCCCACTTGCCCAACATGAACCACTACAGAACACCTTCTCACAATGCGGGCTCTCTCAGACTAACACCTCTCATACACTGAAGTGAACTAACACTGAGGCCTTCTCATACTAAAGCATGCTGACAAAAGAAGACAGAGTTTGAATGGAGAGAAAATCTTCTCCCAGCCTTGGATATTTGCTGTATCTCTGAATAGGGGTACCAGGTGTCCCTTCTTATAAAGCAGGCATGGGCAAACTTGGGCCCTCCGGGTGTTTTGGACTTCAACTCCCATAATTCCTAACAACCTACCGGTTTGCTTTTTAGCCTAATGCAGTCATGGGCAAACTTGGGCCCTCTGGATGTTTTGGACTTCCACGATTCCCAACAGCCTACCGATTTGCTTTTTATCCTAATGCAGTCATGGGCCAACTTAGGCCCTCCGGGTGTTTTGGATTTCAACTCCCACAATTCCTAACAGCCTATTGATTTGCTTTTTAGCCTAATGCAGTCATGGGCAAACTTGGGCCCTCGGGTGTTTTGGACTTCAACCCCCACAATTCCTAACAGCCTACTGGCTGTTAGGAATTGTGGGAGTTGAAATCCAAAACACCCGGAGGCTGCCAATGGGGCTATTCTGCCGACCTGGCAACCCCCAGGCTGAGCAAACCAGCGCTTCCGGGGGGCGCTCGGCTGGCTTCTCCAATCAACAATCAACTTGGCCCTCCAGGTGTTTTGGACTTCAACCCCCACAATTCCTAACAGCCTACCGGCTGTTAGGAATTGTGGGAGTTGAAATCCAAAACACCCGGAGGGCCCAAGTTGCCCCATACCTGATATAAAAGCACATTTCCACTTAGAGATGTGCATGGCTTTTGACTCATCTCTGCCTGCACCAGGGCAGAGAGAGTTAGGGCTGGGGTTCTCCCTCCTTGAACCCCCAGGTTCCCCTTCTTTCCTGGCTGCCAATGGGGCTATTCTGCCGACCTGGCAACCCCCAGGCTGAGCAAACCAGCGCTTCCGGCGGGCGCTCGGCTGGCTTCTCCAATCAACACCTTGCTCCCCTCTTTCCTTCCCTCCGTTTTTCCCCAGTAACAGCCACCGACAAATGTGGAAGGACGGGGGCGGGAGAGTTTGGCAGCGAGAAGCCTCAGAGCCCCCTCCTCAATCCCTCCTCCCTCCCGACACGTGCCGGCTCTTGGGACACCCATTGATGCCTCCCTTGCACCCTTTTCTCCCCGGCGCACAAAGCCCGCCCCCTCCTCCTTTGCCCAAACTTTGTCCAATTAGCGCCCGGTATGCAAATACAGCCCTGCCCCCTTTGCCTCCCAGTTCCTTCTCTCCCCCTCTTGACTCCAGTCAGTCTCCCCAATTGAGGGGAAAAGAGGCAGAGGAGGCGATCTCAGCCAAAGCATCATCTCCAGGTAAGAGGAGAGGGGAGGGAGGGAGGGAGGGAGGGAGGGAGGAAGGAAGGAAGGAAGGAAGGAAGGAAGGAAGGAAGGAAGGAAGGAAGGAAGGAAGGAAGGAAGGAAGGAAGGAAGGAAGGAGGGGGTCTTTGGGACCTGGGGAGGCATCTCTAGGGGCTCTTCCCGCTCTTTTCCCCCTTCCGTCCCCTTCAGACGCAAGACCCGCGCGTGCCATGTCAACACAGAGGCGAGCCGGACAAGCGCAGCCCCTCTCTCCCCCCCCCCCTCTCAGACAGTAATGTCGTCAGCGTCCCAGCGCGCGCCACAGAGAGAGAGAGAGAGACCCCCGGGCTGTGCGCGCGCCCTCTTGGGTTTCCAGCCGCCAAGTTGATTGCATTCTTGGCCCGGCTTGCAGGAATGTAGCTCTAGGCAGGCAAAGAAGAAAGATTCCAGGGTCCAGAGTGGAAGGGTTTCGGGATGGGATGTCTCTCAAGGCATACCTGGACCCCTGGTAATCAGGTCCAAACACATATCCAATTTTCTGCGGTGACGTAATGGGGAAAAAGTATGATAGCTGGGACTCAATGCCCGCGGTAGTATGATAGCTGGGTCCGGAAGCTCCGAGCGTTATGGAGATGCTGCAAAGGTGGCTGTGAATAAGGAAAGAGAGGGGGCAGAGGCAGGCCTGTAGCGAGGGGGTTCAACCCCCCCCCCCGAAATGTTTCAGATTTTTTTTTAAAAAAATGGTTTACTCATGAATTTTAACTGGTTAACCAAATCCCCATGCTAAGTCTATGAGATGCAAAAAATTAAGAGTCCCTCCAGAACTGCAAGCACTATCTCAAGCAAATATTGACAATTTATTCACACTGTCATTACTTGCAGCAATAGCCGATGTAGTGAAGCAACCAAATTGGGGGGGGGGGAGGTGTTGAATGCTCTCATTAAGGAGGCCAGACTTGGTGGAGGTGGTTGACAGGGACGGCTACTCTGCCCCCTGCTGTGCTCTTTGCTTCAGCGTGAGCTAGGAGGCAGGTTTCAACCCCCCCTGTGAAATTTTCAACCCCCCCCCCCCAAAATTTCAACCCCTCACGAAATCTTTTTCTGGCTATGGCCCTGGGCAGACGGAGAGCAAGGAAGGATAGAAAGGAGGGGACGCTTAGGGTCAGGGTTACGGCTAGGCTTAGGGTTTGGGTTTGGGTTAGGCTTACAGTTAGGGTAAGGGCAGAGGCGGCCCTAGGTAATTTTCAACGGTAAGCAAACAGTATTTTGCCCCCCCCCCCCAACCAATCACTGATATATATTTTCTGTTTGTCGTGGGAGTTCTGTGTGCCATATTTGGTTCAATTCCATCATTGGTGGAGTTCAGAATGCTCTTTGATTGTAGGTGAACTATACATCCCAGTAACTACAACTCACATATGTCAGGGTCTATTTTCCCCCAAGAGTGCCTCAAGAGCACCCCTGGGCAAAATCAACTATACTGCGAATGCTTACTTTGCATAATTGGTTGAGCCACCCCTGACCGTACCTTAACTGTAACCCTAATCCAAAACCTAAAACCTTGCCCTAACCCTTACCCTAAGCATCCCCTCCTTTCTATCCTCCCTTCACTCTCCCCACACTCACTCCGCCCCCTCTCTTCCCTTATTCACAGCCACCTTTGCGGCATCTCCATAATGCCTGGAGATTCCGGACCCAGCTATTATACTATCACTGAAGAAAGGCTCCTGGGTCCAGAGTGAAAGGGTTGGGGATGGGATGTCTCAAGGCATACCTGGTCCCCTGGTAATCAGGTCCAAACATATCTCCAAGGAGCTGCGGTGACATAATGGGGCAAAAGTATGATAGCTGGGACCCAATGCCGGTGATAGTATGATAGCTGGGTCCGGAAGCTCCAAGCATTAAGGAGATGCCACCGGAGTGGTGCCTATTGATCTATACACATTTGCATGTTTTTGAACTGCTAGGTTGGCAGGAGCTGGGCTAACAGTGGGAGCTCACGCCAGTCTGCGAATTCAAACCTCCAACCTTTCAGAGTTCAGCAGCTCAGCGGTTTAACCCACTGTACCACCAGGGAGCCCAGCTCTTGCTATAACAACAACAACAACAACTTTATTCTTCTACCCCACCACCATCTCCCCAAAGGAACTTGGGATGGCTTACATATGGGACAGAAAGTCCACCATACATACATACATACATAAAAGCAATAATCCACTAAAACAAAAGCACCAATAAAATAAAATAAAAACATCATAAATAAACAATCCGTATAAAACACAACTGCACATTAGAGAAAAACAGCAGCATTGAGGACTGAAGTCCATCCTAATGTTTAAGTGGAACCTCTTTTCCTATCCTTTGAACCCAGTCTCCAGAACAGCAGAGAACAAGCTCACCCCCTCCACCATCCTTTCAGAAATGTAAACATGGCTCTGGTGTTTCCTTCTCTCAGCCTTCTTTTCTCCAAGCTAAACAGACCCAGTGGGTTGTTGTAGGTTTTTTCGGGCTATATGGCCATGTTCTAGAGCAGGGGTAGGGAACCTTTGGCCCTCCAGCTGTGGTGGACTTCAACTCCCACAATTCCTTGAGGCTCGGCATTGGGCCAAGGTAAGCCTTTGGGGCGAATGCCGAGCCTCAAGGAATTGTGGGAGTTGAAGTCCACCACAGCTGGAGGGCCAAAGGTTCCCTACCCCTGTTCTAGAGGCATTTCTCCTGACGTTTCGCCTGCATCTATAGCAAACATTCTCAGAGGTAGTGAGGTCTGTTGGAACTAGGAAAAGGGGTTTATATGTCTAAGGAATGACCAGGGTGAGACAAAGGACTCTTGTCTGCTGGAGCTAGGTGTGAATGTTTCAACAGACCCAGCTCCCTCACTTTTGGTTGCACTCCTCAGAACGTGTTGTAGCTTGTCCACGTCCTTGAATTGCTATGCACAGAAATGGGCACAGTGTTATTCCAGATGAGGTCTGATCAAAGCAGAAGAGAACAGGGCGATGACTTCTCCTGAACTCCGCACTAGGTGCACATTGATGCAACCTAGAATTGCATTGGCCTTCTTAGCTGCCGCATCACACTTCACCTTTCGGTATAGTACCATACATTTCTCCTGTTGGAATTCATTTTCTTAGTTTCGGCCAATCAGCTTTCTAATCTGTTAAGGTCACTTTGGAGCCCCAGGTGGCGCAATGGGTTAAACCCTTGTGCTGGCAAGACTGCTGACCAAAAGCTTGGTGTTTCGAATCCAAGGAGCGGGGTGAGCTCCTGTCTGTCAGCTCCAGCTTTTCATGCAGGGACATGAGAGAAGCCTCTGATAGGATGGTAAAACATCTGGGCGTTCCCTGGGCCAATTCTCTGGGCGTTCCCTGGGCCAATTCTCTCACATCAGAGGCAACTTGCAGTTTCTCAAGTCGCTCCTGGCACAGAAAAAAGATCGCTTTGGACTCTGATCCTGTCCTCTGGGGCACTGTGTCTCTCATTTTGGTATCATCTGCAAATCATATGAGTGTGCATTGTTTTCCATCATCCAAGTCATTGATAAAGATCTGGAACAGCACTGGACCCAAGTTATGTGCAGCTCGTATTCCCTGAATTTAGAAGTAACGGGGAATGGGAAGATTTCTGCTTCTGTCCCCAGAGAACAAGTACCAGAGTAGGAAAGATGGGGAAGGATGATGTTGACTAGGCTGGCCTGAGATAAGGCATCTCCTTCCCTTGCTAGAGTCTAAATGCACCCCTCTCTCCTTCATCTGCATCAACATAATTATGTGCTTCAGAGGCTTCAGCAACCATCATTGAGCATCATTGGATGCATGAAGCACTTGCGCCACAATAAAGGCATTCGGAGTCCAAAAAGCCAGCTAACATGACTCCCACGCTAGAATTTGTCACCAGCATTAAGGTCATTGACTAGAAAGTAAGAAGGAACTCCTGCATGGTGGGAATGTCATTGCAGTCATTGGTTTTCCTCTTAGTCTTGCCCTATCCCTGGATCCCCTTGCTTTATGCATGAACCTCATGCATGAAAGGAATGAAATGGGGCTTCATGACTCATCAGTGTTTTTCTCTGGCATGGTATCTCCATGTTGCCTTGTGAGGGAATTGACCCCACACATGCTATGGCATGACTGACAAATAGTCACTTTGAAGGGGCCCATGAATGTCTGGAATCATTTAAAGTGCTACTGTGTTGTGTTTTTTTCCCCAAGAGAGTTGATTTCCAGTTTTTCGCAATTGCAGGAGAAACTGATACAAGTTGACCGGTGGTGTGCAGTGCCACAATTGCTGCAATGTACAAGGTGCTTATTGTATCCTAATAAAGCTTGTTGTGGCATATCAGATGAACAGATAAGGATTATTCTAATCTTAATAATAATAATAATAATAATAATAGGAAAGATAAAGGTTTTCCCCTGACATGAAGTTCAGTCGTGTCCGACTCTGGGGTGGTGCTCATCTCCACTTCTAAGCTGAAGAGCCGGCATTGTCCATAGACATCTCCAAAGTCATGTGGCCAGCGTGACTGCATGGAGTGCCATTACCTTCCCTCTGGAGCAGTACCTATTGATCTACTCACATTTGCAGGTTTTTGAACTACTAGGTTGGCAGAAGCTGGGGCTGTCAGCGGAAGCTCACTCTGCTCCCCGGAATCAAACCTGCGACCTTTCAATCAACAAGCTCAGCAGCTCAGCACACCTCCGGGGCTCCTAATATATGATAATATTGTAATATAATATTATAATATATTATAATATAATAATAATAAGAAAAAGAAGAAGAAGAAGACAACTTTATTTATATTCTTCCCTATCTCTCTGAAGGAACTGAAATTGCTGACCAAAAGGTTGGCAGTTTGAATCTGAGGAGCGGGATGAGCTCCTGCTGTTAGCCCCAGCTTCTGCCAACCTAGCAGTTTATAAACATGCAAATGTGAGTAGATCAATAGGTACCGCTTCAGCAGGAAGGTAACAATGTTCCATGCAGTCATGCTGGCCACATGACCTTGGAGGCGTCTA